GTGCCTGCTGACACCAGATTGTCAGTGCTGGGAAAGTCCGCCTGAGGCCAGAGAGTGTGGCTGGGGTGATGTGATGGCCAGATACAGCCCCCAAATGCCCAGCACACCCCACATGCACCTGCACCAGGAGCTGGGGGAAGGAGCTGAGCTGTGGGATGCAGGGAGGGCAGAAGGAAGATGAGACCCCAGGGACTGGAAGCACAGATGACTGTCCCGGTAAGGCTGGTTAGATACTGAAATGCTCCTGGGATGAAGCAGGCTTGTGGCAGGTCACAATGAGAGCCCATAGGAGTTAGGAGGGCAGGTCTGGGGATTTCTTTGCTGTCTGCAAGGAATAAAGCTGTCCCTCAGATATGCTGGTGGAAAGCAAGATCTATCTCCTTGCAGATGATGAAACTGCTCTGGCCTGGGGAAGGATTTTACCCTACAGTTGCGGTCCTAAGATGGGATGGAGAATTTCTGCTCTGAGGGAGCAATGGGGACGCAGAACAGTAGGGACCCGCAGCACATGTCCATGGCAGCAGCACAGCCAGGCTGGACATCAGGCCTCTGGGACAAGACAACCTGTCCCTGGATGTTCATGTGGCTGAAGCTCTGGGCACTTGTAAACTGGTAATTTAAGAGTGGGAAGAGACTGACAAGTCCTCCCATGCCCAAAGGGGCTGGTCCCTCCAAGGCCATCAGGTGAGCACATTTGGGTCTGCAGGAGGATGTTTTCCTTTCCTGATGGTATTACCCAGAAGTGCTCCAGAGCAGCACAGAGTGCCTTCCCTATCCCTCCCACTGCCTAAGGCAAGCCCCTTGACATCCTTCTGTGCTCCAGCAGATGCAGACCATGTGGGTGATGCTGATCTGCCTGGCTGGAGGGCAGCTTGCAAGTGCTACACTCTGCAAGACCTATGGCACCATCCCAGGCATCCCAGGGTCACCAGGACGGCCTGGCAGCAATGGCAGAGATGGGGAGAATGGCCCAAAGGGAGAGCAAGGTAAGGAGGAGGCTGCAGGTGGGGAAAACATTGTCTTGTGAATACCAAGAGCAGGAAAATCATAGAATTATAGAATAGTTTGGGTTGGAAGGGACCTTTAAAGGTCATCTAGTCCACCCTCCCTACAATGAGCAGGGACATCTTCAACTACATCAGGTTGCCCAGAGCTCCATCCAACCTGACCTTGAATGTTTCCAGGGATTGGGCATCTACCACCTCTCTGGGCAACCTGTTCCACTGTTTCACCACCCTCACTGTAAAAAATTTCTTCCTTATATCCAGTCTAAATCTACCCTCTTTTAGTTTAAAACCATTACCCTTTGTCCTATTGCAACAGGCCCTGCTAGAAAGTTTGTCCCCATCTTTCTTATAAGCCCTCTTTAAGTATGGAAAGTCTGGTATAAGGTTTCCCCAGAGCCTTCTCTTCTCCAACTCTCTCAGCCTTTCCTCATAGGAGAGGTGTTCTAGCCTTCTGATGATTTTTGTGGCCTCCTCTGGACCCGCTCCAACAGGTCCATGTCCTTCTTGTGCTGCGGGCTCCAGAGCTGGACGCAGGGCTCCAGGTGAGGTCTCACCAGAACAGAGTACAGGGGCAGAATCCCCTTCCTTGACCTCCTGGCCACACTTCTTTTGATGCAGCCCAGGATACCGTTGGCTTTCTGGGGTGCAAGTGCACATTGCCAGCTCATGTCCAGCCTTTTTTCATCCACCAGGACCCCCAAGTCCTTCTCCACAGGGCTGCTCTCAATCCATTCATGCCCCAGCCTGTATTGATACCAGGGGTTGCCCCGACCCAGGTGCAGGACCAGGCAGTGCCAGGCATTGGAAAGCAATCCATTTGCCACCAGTCCCAAAGGGTATTATCAGGTGGGGGTGATGCTTGGGGACAGAAGGAGCTGAACAGACCAGAGCACCCTGAGGAACCTGGAGAGGGAGGGTGGACGAGAGCAAGGAGTGTCATGCCTGCTGGATGGGTGGTCTCTGCTGATCTGCACCCCAGCACAGGTACTGGCGGTTTCCTTCCCACTACCTCTGCAGACCCCTGGGGCTTGGCTGCAACCACAGCGACTCTTTCTTCTATTTTCTAGGTCCCCCTGGCCAGGTGGAGCATGAAGGAGCCAGGGGGGAGAAGGGAGACCAAGGAATGCCAGGGCATCCTGGGAAGATTGGTCCCAAAGGCCCCCAGGGTTCAAAGGGATTACCAGGTCCCATGGGACCCCCTGGCCCTCAAGGGGACTCTGGTGACTACAAGACCACCCTCAAGTCTGCCTTCTCTGCTGCCAGGACCGTCAGCTCCTACCCACGCCGCGATCAGCCCATCCGCTTCGACCGCATCTTCACCAATGAGAAGGGCCACTATGAGAACCGGTATGGCCGCTTCACCTGCCGGGTCCCAGGCATCTACTACTTCACCTACCACGTCACCTCCAGGGGCAACCTGTGCCTCAGTGTGAAAAAGGGCCGGGGTGGCAGCAGGGGTGAGAAGGTGGTGACCTTCTGCGACTATGTGCATAGCAGCTACCAGGTCACCACAGGTGGCGTGGTCCTCAAGATGGCAGCAAACGAGTCCGTTTGGCTGGAGCCAACGGAGAAGAACTCCCTTGTGGGGATTGAAGGGTCCGACAGCATCTTCTCCGGCTTCCTGATCTTCCCCGAGGTTTAGCCCTCTGATGGTGTCTCTCTGCCGCCCTTCCCCTGCTGCTGGCTGGCCCCTGCAGGGCTGAGGACTCCCCTGAAAATGACTCTTTGCTCCAGAGTTGGTGCCCTAAGCCCGTTGCTGCCGGTCTTGCACATTAAATGACAGCTCCTTGTGCTGCTGCTTCCTTCCTGCCTAGGATTTGCCTCTTTCCTCCCAAAAAAATGCTCAGATACCCAGGGCATTGCCTCCCGCACCCCTGGGTGCAGCCTGGGCTTATTAGCATCTCATTAGTGCTGAGCAGAGCCAGGCAATTCATGCAGTTCCTGCTGCAGCCCACGCTGAGTATCTCCTTCCAGAGACACCCAGAGAAAGTCCCAGCCCAGGGTTAGGAAAAC